ACCAGCCAAACACCATCATCTTTCGCAGGACCGTGCGTCAGGCCCGGTTTCACCAAATGTTGCTTAACTTGAATCTTAGTTTGATTCATGATGCTAGAACTTGGACCAAGTTCCGGCGTCGTGGACACAGGCCCTTTACAGTTGGAAAGAGACAAAGAACGAAGTAAGCTAAGCTTAAAGTTAAGCGACGCCTTAGGCCTTAGGCCCGGTTTCACCAAACGTCGCTTAACTTTAATCTTATGCCCGTTCTACACCTATAATAGGGATGATCCTACTTGTGGCTCATCCGAGTGAGTAAATAGACAAAGATCGTCGTATTGAGACCGTTTATGGACTCGGGTGCCATTTCTACATAAGAAGCCGGTTAAAAGTCATAGTAAAATCATACAAAAACCATACTTAGTATGATAGTCATACTAAAATGCCCGCGTAAACCCGTCCGCTCGGATGAGCCACAAGCAGGATCATCTCTAGGTGTAGAACGAGCATTAGTTTAATTCATGTTCGCCTCTTTCGAGAATAATAGTTGGAACGAGGCAAATAAAGAGCTGAACTAAGCTTAGAGTTAAGCGATGTTGGTGAAACCGGGCCTTGGATTCGTAAATATTTTCCCGTTTTTGCGAGGGTGCGTTCACGCGCGGCGCTATCGCTTTTCATCGATCACACCCTGAATGGAATGTCTTCGTGACGTCCACGTGTTTCTCGCCGGCCTTCAACTACTCCTCATGTTTCATAATTAATGCACGCCTAATGCCTCTTAACGTTAGGCTGCAGTCACAGGACGTCATCGATATCGGTACCGACGTCAGCAGCGGTCGAGAGCAGCCGTTTGCTCCCCGAGATGCTCTGGCGAGAGGACATAGATGCTCCTGATGGAGCTATTTTTTAATTGAATTTTTTCCTCCTTTCTGATAAATATCCCCACCCCACCCCCCCTCCTCTCTGAAGAATGCGAGCGCACTTTCCTCTTTCTCCCCCCCCCCCCCCATCCATTGTGCTAACAGGCTAGATTATATTCGCAGAATGACGTCGGTGCATATCCCAGACAGTACAATCTTCAGACACGCGCGCGCACGCACACGCACATCACGTGCGGTGTGAGGTGTTTTCATCGAGATAACACTCTCCGAAGGTATTCTAGACCTAATAGAATATTCTTGTAAGGGTATTTTCGTTGTCCAGCATTATTTTTAGCTGAGGGAAGAGGTGACTCGGTCGCGCGATTGTTATCGGTTTTTAAACACAACGCCTGCTGTTCTCTTTGTTTTGTTCGCTTATTGTATTTTGCCGACGCTTCGATTTCTTTTTATATATAGAAACTGTATTCAGGCAAATTGTCCGACGACTCGGGCAAATTGGCTGGTGGACGTTACTTAATTTTCTCGCCGAGAGAAAGAGACGTGGATGAGGATTAATCGCGCCTTCTTCCCTCCACCTCCTGAAACGATAATCCGTCGATCGAAAAACTTGCAATAATTAATAAATTTGCTTATTATAACATACCGTTGATACAACAAATATTTGCATTATAAGAGAGGGATATTGGATAATTTCCAACAACAATGCACGAAATGCGCGCGGCACTCGATTGGCAATTTTGTTAATGTAAATTGTCTTCTCCCAAAATCGAGAGGCAGACCGCGAAGTTCCAAGCACAAGATTAGCAGATATCGCGCAAACGATAAATGGCAATTAAGCAACGCTTCATTTAGAGAGTATCCACTTTCTATTAATACCTAAAGTCGTTTTCTCATCAATACCGATTAATTTGTAATCGAGTTTCAGTCTTCGCGTCTTTTTTTAAAATGTCACGTATATTCGAGACGTGACGCGAACATTATTCAACTGCGTTAAAAATGGTATCGCTACTAAACGTCCTGGCGGCTTGCTTCTCCTCCGAACAATTAACACGATCGCGAGTAAGCGCGCCAGTCGCAATCAAACAAACGTGGGGCGTATCGCGTGTACACCGGCGAGGCGCGGGATCATCAATCGCGCGATTTTGCGACGGAATGATCCGATCTCCAGGAATTTGCGAGAATTACCGACTGGTTTAATTTTAAGCTTTCGCGCGGGACCGTCTCTCCGTGCCGAGGGTTCTCGCCCGGGATGAAAATATAAAAGCCCTGAATAAATAACTTAAGTTCGGCGAGGCGAGCATTTGTTCTGCTTCTCTCTATGCCAAGAGAAGTCCGATCGCATCGCGGCCTCACCCCCGGAGGAAAGGGCGAAGAAACTTATCCGACAATTTTGTCTCGAGAGCCCTTTCTACCGAGGATTCTCACTCGGGACGAAAATATATAAGAACGAGAGTGGCTGAAAAAAATAAGATAAAGAATCGATGAGGGAAGGTCAGTGTGAGCCAATAAACGCTACGCTGTGCTAAAATATAAAAACCCCGAATAAATAACTCGAGTTCGGCGAGGCATAGGCATTTGTCCCGCTTCTCTCTGTGCCGAGACAAGTCCGGTCGCGCCGCGGCCTCTCACCCCCGGAGGAAAGGACGAAGTGCGAAGAAAGAAATCTAACGGCTCGGTCGCCCAAAGTCCTATCTACCGGGAGTTCGCGCTCGGGATGAACATGTAAAAAGCCCGAATAAATAACTCGAGTCCGGTGGGGCCTAGGCATTTGTTTTGCCTCTCTCCACGCCAAGAGACGTCCGATCGCGTCGCGCGGCCTCACCCCCTCAAATCCGCCGATTTGGTGTCTCGCGAGTCCTTGCCACGGAGGACTCGCCCGTGTTAACCAACCGCGCGCGCGCGCGCGCACGACCCTCTCCGTCGGAATTGCAGGGCAGGGTTAAACCGGCCGATTACGGCAACGGTACGACGCGACCGGCGTCCCCCGGTCATCAAGCGAGCCTCCGCGCGAAGGCGGCCGTCGCCCCGGCGGCGATTTGCGCGCTTACCTCGTTTGAAGGGCGCGACATGCATGACTCTTGGAGGGACCGATAAGAAGGGCGGACCGCGAGACCGCCTCTCATGACACCACGCCGCTACTTTTCAGTGCAACCACCGCCGTTCGCGCCTTACGCAGCTGCTGTCCGTCGTCCTCTCGTCCCTTCTCGCGCCCCTTGTTCCGCCGTCCCCCGTCGACCTCTACCCTTCCACTTCCGGGACCGGCCGCCGCGCTGCCTCCACTTGCCGCCCTTTTCAGCGCGCGCGCTCGCACCCTCCTCTGAGCCGCGTTCTCCCGTTAGCTCGCTCTTTCTCTCACTCTCTCTCTCTCTCTCTCTTCTCGCGCTCGCGACTACGCCGTACGCCCGGATCGCCGAATTCGCTTGCTCGCGACGGGTCTCCTCGCTCCCGGAATCTCTTCTCTCTCTGATCGACTTGGTATTCGCCGACGCCTCTGACGGAGTGCAGCTACACGATGCTCCCTCACCGAGCTTTTGCGCTTTACTGGGCGTTCGTCGGAGGCGAGGTCTACCGGAGCCACCGCTGCCGAGGGAGTAGAGAGACGCGCGAGGCGAAGCGAGGCGAGCCGGCGCGGCGCGGTGCGGTGCGGCGCGGCGCGGCGAGACGCGCGCGTCGCAGAATTCGCTCGATACCGGCGACGGAGCGACGCCACCGTGAATCCTTACTCCGGAATGGCGCGGCGCATCCATTGGTTATCCCGCGCTCATCACGCGGCTCCTGCGTGCGGCGGCACGCAGGACGTCTCGTCCGGACGCCGGCGCTCAACTTCAACGCCTTCGCGCGACCAGTCTCGCGACCAACGTTTGCGCGCGATCCTCGCGATAGATCTTTTATTTACGAACGTACAAATTACGCGTGGATGTTAATTCTTATATTTAATGGATCGCCTATCCCCTCGACCTCTGTAACACTGCGTTTAAACTGGTCTTAAGGCTGGTCTACAACACATGGAGTAAGCTGGAGTAAGGAGTAAGGAAATAAATCCATTTTATTTCTTACTCCTACTTCAGCTCTCGGGTTTACTCTCGGTGAATCAAAATGCCATCAATTAGTGTTGCAAATATTTTAAAAACCATGCCCGTATTTCAGCTTCCTCACACCAAAAGCTAGAAGTTAGGGCTCTCTCTTACTCTTTACTCCAAGCTTACTCCACGTATTGTAGATGACGCATTAAACCAACTTTCGAGAGACTAACACCCAGTGAGAAATGATTCCGTCGATCGACGTCGAATCGACATCGACACCGTCGAATTGACGTCGATTCGACATCATTTCGACGCCGATCGACGAATCATTTCTCACTGGGCAGCGAATATGGTGGCAACGTTCAAAATTCAATAATTTATTAGATATGGGCAACGAAAATTGAGAGACCTTAGAACATTTTCGTAAGAATATTCTTAAAGACGCCAGCTATAATTAGTAAATTAATAACATCAGTGATTTTTAGTTGACCGTATCTGGCAATTAAAATTCTTATTGCGAAAAATATTACCCCAGCCAGGATTAGGTCTTAGAGCATTTTATCGAAACATGACTTATAATACCTAGGATATTCTCGTCTACCAACGATGAATACGTTTGATACATGTGTAGAATTGATTGTACTGCCATGACATCGCCTTTGGATAAGTTGGTAAAAAACTCCACTGTTGATAATATTATAAGTTACTGCGTTTTTATGCGATTGATGTTAAATTGTTAATTATGTACTTATGTTTTACACATAATATTTCATGTAACACAGCAAGCTTTAACATTTTGTTTTAGAACTTTGAGACAGTCAATTTAAATTTAATTAGTTTTACTTTGTACGTATTAACGTAAAGAATAAACTGTAAAAATTTGAAACAATTCTCACATAAATAATTTTACAAAATAACTACCTCAAGAGTACAAGACAGCCATTCTGCTCAGGTCCTTCGTGCACGCTAGTGCAAGCTGTCGAATTCGCTATTAACGCATTCGTTTGTATCGCGCATACATTTGAGGATAACGCGATCGATTATCTAATCACAGATACAGAAACGATCCAGGCTCGATTCGAGTGTTGAATATTCCCAAACTCTGTACAGCGTCACCTTATTTACATATGTTAGTTTTATTAATTCAAACTTTATACAAAACTTACACGCGTCATTGTTTAGATCTTGCGTCGCGCGCTTATTGGTAAATAAATTTTTGTAGGAAAAGCAAGTAAACGCAATTATAAATTCATTGTACTCGTTATATAAAATATTATTTGTAATGCAGGTGGCTCTTTTCGCTTTCTCCCACAGCGATGCGATCGACGCGGCCTTTCCGATTAGTCTGCTGCAAGATGTGCAAATAACGTGAGCAATCGCAATCGCGTTTCGTACAATTTGATCGATGATCGATTCTCGCGGCCGTCTTTTTTTTTGCGTTTAAGGATCTAAGGACGGGAGTTACTTCTCGGCTCCGCGGGGGGCCTCCTCCTTTCTAAGGAATTAAAGTAGTTTATTTGCGTCTATTCGGAAAACGACGTCGCGTACTAACGCTACATGTACATATGCATATATATACCATGTGTACAAATGTATACATATAAATATATAAATGTGCGTGTTGCTTGTATATCATTATATAATACATCATCGACTTCCCTCTTTACCCCTCTTTCTGTTTCGGTTTTAGATCCTAGGCCAGAAAATGCATTATTTGGTTCATAGAAAACAACAGTGCGCGACATACATCCGGAAAAAATGTACAATTGATTAATCCATACATATGTATACATATATATATAATAATAATTAACAAATAACATGAAAAAAAGGGCTCGGAATGCTTTAGTGTGCGCTGATAAAGTTGCGATAGACGATAGTTGCGAGTACCCCGAGGGCGATTGGAATCAACCAGGACCACCAAGAACTGCAATTGCCAATCACATCATGATGCAGCAGCGACTATTTATACACAATAATTCTTAAACAGAGAAACTCTGTCCGTCTTCAATAAATATAAATTTAGGCCGGTATTCGTAGTCCGTTCTTATTTCAAGATTGTCTCGAGTCTTAAGTAATGTGTCAAGATGCTAAAGCCTCGTCTACAATGCGCTCTTTGCGTCTAGGACCATTTTCAAACCAAAACGCTTAAAAAATTTGTCAAGTTACAAAGTACGATTGTGCAATGTAAAATGTACAATCTATCGACTTGGCTTTCAAGCTTTCGCGGCTGCTGTCTTCTTCAGTCGTAATGGCTTCCGGATGGTTGCCGCGTCCGTTTGCAATGCCGACGTTTCGCAAACTGCAATGTTTGCATCATTATCAATTTATCGACTTGCACAAATTTTTTAAACGTATTTATCGACTACGCAATAGATCATGTTTCTAGACGCAAAGAGCAAATTGTAGATTAGGCTTAGAACGGTTCTGTCATTAGTTTACCATACATTAAGACTACACTTAAGTTGGTCTTAAATATAACATTGGACTATGAATACCTTGGACGGTATGCGCACGTTCACGTTTGACCTTATTTATGCAGATGATAAAACCGATGTATTTCATTTATAAGTTCAGTGTAATTTTAAAAAAAGGCACTGAAAGAAAAGAAGAAGCTAGTATACTATTGAAGTACTTATATAAAGTCGGGTCTTATTATAACATCGTGCTTGAAAAAGAAATCTATTTTAGTCACAAATAAAAATTTCAAATACCAAACTATTAACATAATAAATGAACATTAGCATCGCAATGAATCCTAGTTAACATAATGAATGAACATTAGAATCGCAAAACAAAGCATTATTAAAACTACATTCAAAGTATGGAATTAGTAACCTCTGTCTTGGAGTTACATAATGAACGCACAAATTGAGGACTCTGTGAACCTGCTGATAATATACTCGGCTTCAACGATCATTACACATCTGCACGGTACAAGTGTAAAAATATCTGAATCAGATAACGTTGCATAACCAGATAAAGTATTATTTATGACATCACCTTCATTGAGCGAGTCTTTATATTCATACAGTCTTTGTAGGAGAAAATTAAAGAAAGTTAAGAAGAGAGAAGAGTTACTCGTGCTAGTGGAAAGTTTAGGAATGGCTGTTTGTGAAACTGGAATTTTGTCAAAAAAATAAGCTTTCTGGAACAGTAAAGTACGATTATTCTGAAATATTGAAATGTTAAAGTGAAAGTGAGAGAGAGAGAGAGAGAGAGAGAGAGAACAAAATTCTTAAAATAGCATGGTAGGAAAGTGAAGATGAGATCGTACCTAGAACTATCCTCCTCGTTTCCACGAGTCCAGTTCGTAGTTCTCTTTCCGCCATCTTTCGTCCTTTCTTCCTGAAATGCGCACAGATAATCCGTAATAAAAGGAAAGCAAGATGCGACTTGGGTTGAAATTAAATTAACTCTCACTTCTACCAACTCTCCAATTTTGTATTTTGTCATCATCTGTCTTGCATCAGTCGAATGGCCGATGTCCTCGAAGGGTTCCGTAGCGTCGCGTCCAGCTTGCTCCAGGAGTACCTCCTCACCGCCGGGATGCTGTTGAAGAAAATCAACGCGTTAGATTAGTTCTAATTAGGAAAGAGAAATCAGTAAATTCACCGAATATACATATTTTGGATAAGAAAGCCTTGGAATTAGATTTTCATCGAATGCCACTGAAAGATACAAATTGGTAAGTAAGTCGTTTATGCGGCAGGAAAAAGCTGTAACCTCATTGAGAAACGGGGTAACGTTGTAAACGTCATTGTGAATGATGATCCATACATCCTTGGAGGTATCGACGTGCTTGGTTACTTCCTCCCGAGTGAAGAGCTTGCCAGTCGAAGTGGCGGCGGTGTCGTCCTTGGTTGCCATTTCGTCGGTCTCAGCGGGTTCTTTTGCCTTCGCCAATTAATATTCACCAATTCCGTCTTGCCGATGAAATCCGAGAAATCGCCGTCCTTCAACTTACAGTAAATAACCTACGTCAATTGACTCAGCGCTTTTTGTCCCGCTTCGTCACAAACGTGCACGTCGGAATATCAACGGCTAGCGATTACTCGACTTGCTTTATCACGGAAGAGCCGGACTGGACTTCGCACACTATGCACTGGGCGATTTTAATCGGTGCCGGTGATCCCGTGTTATCATCGGTCGCTCTGGGATACGACTTCTGTAGGAAGACGAACGGAAAAATAAACCTGTACGATTTTGCCAGGGAGGAAGGAATACCTGGAGGGAGCATAAACCCGTTTTTAGGTGTGGGGGGGGTAGCTAACTCCTATCTCTAGCGGTGATTGGTTATCCACAGTGACATGGCGTTCTGTACTTCCATCGTTTCTGCACTCTGCACTATCTTCAACTAGGTGCATCTCTTTTTTCAGTTCGCCATGATTGGTGATTCTGCACCTTTGGCACCTTTTGCTCCTAGAATTGTCAATTCGTGAAAACATTTGTGTGTGATATACAAATGATGTGACTTTTGCGTACAGACCGACAGTGTCCCGCTATTCAGATTAAGTGAAGGAACAGCATGGTATCATCGAAATTAAGTTTAGGAGCCTAACAGAAAGTCTATTCGCTCGAATAAGTTATAGGTTACGTAACCTTTAAACGTTTTTATTTGAAAGATGTGATGAAAACGTTTCTAGATGCAAAGAACACATTGTAGATTAGGTTTTAGGCTTGTTAACAGTTGTTAGACATAGCAATTCCTACTATATTCATAGAGCGGTTGGTAACCGCGTTAACTGTATTTTGGGAACGATAGATGTCGCTAGTACTGCTTTGTTGTTTTTTTCCTTTTTCTATCTAGACTTTGCCGCTACCGCTTCTCCCGTTATCTGTCAAGTAATCTGTGTATTGTAATTCCAGTGTTGTGCATAGATGATTTTAAAATTAGCTAGATAAAGATAAGATAAAAATATATAAATTTATCTTAGATAAGATAAAGATGATTTCGTTTTTAATATATCTAGATAAAAGATAAAATCATATGACGATTCATCTAGATAATTTGCAGATAATATTTTTAAGACTTCATGTAAACAGTAGAAAAAGTTATAAAAAAATTATAGAAAAATTTAAATTATAAAGGGGATATAGAATATATTCAGGTTAAGTTATATGACACACACATAAATGCATGGTCTACAACGCCATCCATATTTAAATAGTGTAACTGTTAAGTATTTTTATGTGGCTAACCTTATGTGGCTCTAAACCAAATTATCTGTACGTTATCTTAGATAACTTAGTAAAAATAACACTTTCTTTCATCTAAGATACAGATATAGATAATACTTATTTTTATTATCTATATAAAGATAAGATAACGCTAAAATTTATATATAATTTTATTTAGATAACAGCAAACACTGTGTAATTCACTGAATAAATAGTATTATCTAAGTTTGCAATTATACAGAAGCGTCCTGTTTCCATTCTGTGCACCTTATTTAACAACGGTCAATTCTTGTATTTAAAGATCGTCTTAGGGCGTTTTCCAGCAAGGACACAGTGTAACACTGTAAATCATTACATCCTTGTTGTTTGCCAATGTTAAACAAGGATGAAACGATTCACTGTGTTACACTGTTTCCTTGCTGGAAAACGCCTTTAAATATCTCTTGAGATCCCTAGTAGCACAAAATATTTACAGAATATTCGATTGGAATATTCTGAAATTAACAATGTTTGCACTCCAGAATATTCATAGAACTATGTGTGCTATCTGGGATTTCGACGTCGAAACGACGACAATTAGCGATCTCGTTGCTCTCTCGGGAAGCCCGCGGTCGCTTCATGGGATACGATCCCAAATGTAATCGCACGCGACGGCGATAACAAAACGACGCGCCGCAAACCGGTTTTCTTCGCCCGGGCATTGTCTCGGACTCTCGGGTCGCCGCCTAATTCGAAACTCGCGACGCGTCGTCGAATCGTATACCCCGCGATATTCCGATTTCACGCCGCGGTTCCTCGACCGACGCGGCCGCGCGCACGTCTTTCAAACGGGTCCGATCCGATTAAACGCGATGAACGGAGCCGCGCCGGCTCGTGACACAATGCAAGGGCACGACCCGTCATGTGAACGATGTTGACCTGTTGAAGGGGAGGAAAGAGAGGAAAAAAAAACCGCTGGCCAAACATGGATCTCACCGGCCGCGTCCTGGTGCCTCTGCTCGTTTTCACATTCCTCGCGTCCGCGCGATGCGAACTGATAACGCTCGGTGTGGTCGGCGCGTTGAGCAGTTTAGGTTATTACGCGTACGACAAGTACAAGTGCGTGTACCTGGAATGCTGCACGGACGAGTACATTCAGGCCGACTTGGACAGTGAGTACGAAACAAGAGAAACTTTTTTTTTTACTTCGACTCTTATCATGTCGAAAAGACATGTGCCATTTGGACGGAAAAGTGATAAACGAAATTGCGAATAATTGGAGAATTAATGGAAGAGTCGATTTCACCCCAAGTTGTGTGCCTCGCTTTCTTTGAAATTGAAAATGTGACACTTTGTTTCGTTGGAGCATATGAATATCCGCCTCGTCTCGTTCGTAGGACTTGAATATTCTTGTGCATTTTCTCTTCCTCGCGCGTTGTAAGGGAAATTGGCCTAAGTAAATGAATTGCCATCGCTCTTCTCTCTCCTAGACTCGCTATTTCCTCCTAAAAGGTGGGCAACCAAATAAAACCTGACGAATTCTGTGGGATTTAAACTCGGATCTGTGACTTGTTAGTTAGCACAAGACACAATTTCTCTATACTCTTACCAAGATATAAATATTAAAAAGTTATTGAAATTGTAGGGCTGGAGTACATGCTTACTGCCAAGTTATATGGTCAACAAATCGCTCGCGAAACTATCATAAGCGCGCTGCGGGGCCACTTGGAAAGTCACAGTTCGCCCAAGGCACTGGTTATGAGTTTCCATGGCACGCCAGGGACTGGCAAAAACTACGTGGTACAGATGATCGCCAAAACTTTTTATAAACACGGTGCCCAGAGCAAGTATTTCCACTTTTTCAACGGTCGCAACGACTTTCCTCTGCAACGAAAAGTGGATGAATACCAGGTACGTTCCGAATACAAGTAGTTCATTGTAACATGTTAAGAGACAATAAAAATTAACAGGCAAATTCTTTTTCCAGGAAGATTTGTACAAAATTATCTCCAACAGTCTGCAATCGTGCGAGAGGTCGATGTTTGTATTCGACGAGGTGGACAAAATGCCGGAGGGCCTGCTGGACACACTGGTCCCCTTTCTCGGTTACAACAGTTACCACAAGTCCACCAAGAACGGCGAATCCATGTATCTGAACAAAGCAATTTTTATATTTCTCTCCAACACCGGCAGCATCCAGATAGTCCAGCATCTCACGAACCTGTGGGAGAGGGGCATGAAGCGAGACGACCTACAGCTGCAGGATTTCGAGAGGTTGATAGCCGAAGGGGCGTTCGCCGAGAAGGGTGGTTTCCATCACAGCGACACTATACAGACCAGTGTGATCGATCATTACGTGCCTTTTCTGCCTCTCGAGGAGGTGCATGTTAGAAAATGCTTGGTAAGGGCTTTCAACGAGCGAGGGGTCTCTCCTAAGGAGGAGATGATAGAGGAGGCGCTATCGCACTTGACCTTTGGCCCCGAGCCTCACAAGTTGTACTCCATGGCCGGCTGCAAGAGGATAGAACAGAAAGTTGCCACTATTGTGTATCGCAAACAATCGGAGCCTAAAACTATTGAGATAATTTAAAATGTTTGGATAAATTGTTAATAAAACAGCAATACTGATGAAACGCTGTAGTGTAAGCATTTATATAACATCTCGATAAGACCCTTTATTGATAGAATTTCTTATTGGCACACTCAGAAAAATATGTCTAACAATTAAAAAAATAGTAAAAGTAATTTTTCGTACTTACAGTATATTTATCATATATATTTATTTTTGTATCTATATATAGCTGTTCGATAACCAGTAATATAACTAATAAAAAAAGAGAATAATTTCTCAATTTTCTCGAGTAAATTTTTCATTCAAGATCAGATTTGTTGCTTGGAATAACGGTGTATACGAGCAAATTTTACAAGCCGTTAATAAGATTTTGTGTATCCCCCCCCCCCCTAGGCTTTTTTAACTTGTCAGTACCTAAATATCACTATTCTCTCTGTCTGGACAGTTTTGATTGGCACTAATTGAGCTTACAACAAATTAAGATTCTTAGGCAGCTTTTCTCTCATGGATTTGTTACTCCAAGCAACAATCAGATCATAGAAATCTATACATATAGAATTATATTTTATCTAAATATATTATAAAAGTCAATTAATTGAACATCAATAAAATTAGATGTTTTCAAGAATTGTTACTTGAGATGTTCTCAAGAATCAACCTCGAATGTATACAAAACGAATGATAATTCTTTGAGATGATAACGCGAAACGAATAAAATTTATACAAATAGACTTAATGATCTTATTCCTGATTCGACAATTTTAATGAGAAATTGTTCTCTTTGTCTTCCAATTACCGAACACCCTGTATACGATTTGTTTGTGATTTAAATATAACTAGAAATATCTTTTATTAATTGTATGTACGGATAGGATTATGTACATACAATTAATGTCTGGCAATTGACTCTGAAATTTGATCATAAAGAAGAAAGTTGTCGCGACAAG